GGAGGAGGAGGAGGAGGAAAAGGAACAGAAGCGGCAGGATCAGGAGCAGGAGGACGACGCCAACGTCGACGTCTGTGACGGCGGCGGCGAAGTCCTCCCCCGCGACAGCGGCGAATCGCCGCACCCCGGGCGAGGTCCCTCCGCCCAGGCCCCCGCGCGCCCCAGAGGAGGCGCCGGCGGAGGCGCGCCGCCCCCACCGGCCGTCCAGCGCTCCGCCGCCGCCATAGAGGGAATGGGGGTCCTTCGAGCCTCGAGGTTCGAACTTCGAGGATCGCGTCGCCACGGCGGAACTCCCCTCGAAATCTGTCGACGGAGCGTCGAATCCTGTTCGTCGGCTTCCGGATGGAATGCACGATACACACGCCGCCTCCATTCACCTGTGTGCACCCTGGGCTCGGCTTCGCCGAGCGTGTCCTTTGTGGGAAGCATTCGAACAGCTTCCAGCGACCGTTCCAGAATGGGCGCTGGCCATTTAAAGAGTGCTTCCTCCACCGTATGGCGCTTACTCCCGAAATCCTGCTCCCTCTAGGCGGGCTTGAGGGCAGCTGGCGCACAGGCAGGTGGCGACATGCCGGCAGAGGTAACGGAGTGGTCTGCAAGATTCCACCAGAGACTTTGGGTGTAGACTTTCTGGCATCGGATGGAATAACCACGTCGCGTCCAGAGCATCGATCAACGGCTTATGTGTGAGGCGGGCGGATGTAGACCAGCTCGTGGTTCAGCTTATGCTTCTGTCTAGCATTAAAGCCAGGACCGCATTGAAGAAATGCTGAAAGCTCCCGAACGTCCGAATCTATCCAACGAGCAACTTCCCATGAGAACCAGTGTGCCAAGGTCGGTGCATGAAAGGATGCGTCAAGGGTTGACGAGGCTTATGGGAATCTGAAGACATTGAGGTGACTCAGCAAACCTCGAGGATTCGAAGTTACGGCTCGCATTGTTTCTTGAATATGTTTTGTGGTTGTTTGAAAAAGTTTGTTATGATGACGGTGATAACGACGACGATGATGTTGATTCTGCTGATGCCGATGATGACGTCGACGTCGACGTCGACGACGACGACGAAGACGACGACGGCCACGACGACGATGATGATGATGGTGCCGATGATGACCATGATTACGATGATGATACTGATGATGCTGATGTTAATGATGCTGATGATGCTGATGATGAAACTTGTGGTTGTGATGACGGCTCCGATGATGAAGTGGAGGAGGGGGATGATGGTAGTGATGATGATGGTGATGCTGACGATGATGGTGGTGATGATGATGTTGATGATGCTGATGATGATGATGTTGTTGATAATAATGATGATGATGATGATGATGATGATGATGATGATGATGATGATGATGATGCTGATGCTGATGATGATGATGATGATGATGATGATGCTGATGCTGATGATGATGATGATGATGATGCTGATGATGATGATGATGATGATGATGATGATGATGATGATGATGATTGGGCCGTCTATGATAAATGGTGATGGTGAGGATGATGCTGCTGCTGCTGCTGATGATGTTGCTAAAGGTGATGGTGAGGATGCGGGCAATGTCGACGATTACGGTGACGATGTCGATGCTGATGCTGCTGTTGACGATGATAACGATGATGCCTATGCTGATGATGCTGACGACAATGATGCTGATGCTGATGGCGATAAACACGATGATGATGACCATGATGCTGATGATGATGCTGACCATGATGCTTTCGATGATGATGCTGTTGATCATGCTGATACTGATGATGGTGCTAACGATGATGCTGATGATGATGCTGCAGATGGTGCTGCTGCTGCTGCTGATGATGATGATGATGATGATGATAATGGTGCTCACGATGCTGGTGATGATGGAGACGATGATGCTGATGATTCTGATGCTGTTGATGCCGATGATGCTGATGTTGTTGACGGCGGTGATAATACTGCTGATGCTGATGATGATGATGCTCATTCTTATACAGGTGATGCTGATTCTGATGAGGATGTCGCTGATGATGATGCTCATTGCTGATGCTAAAGCCGATGTTTGTGACGATGATGAATCTGAAGATGACGAGGATGATATTGCTGATGATGCCTTTGATGATGCTGCTACTGCAGATGATGCAGATGATGCTGATGATGCTGATGATGCTGATGGTGATGATGCTGATGATGATGGTGATGATTTTGCTATTGCTGATGATGCTTTTGATGAAACCGATGATGCTGATGCTGTTGATGATGATGTTGATACTGTTCTGGCTGATAATGATGATGACGATGAATGTGGTGGCGACGATGATGATGAAGAAGAACATAATGATTGTGATGATGGTGATGCTGTTGATGCTGCTGCTGATGATGATAATGATAATGATGATGCTGTTGCTGCTGATGGCGATGATGATGCTGATAATGATGATGATGATGATGATGCTGATGCTACTGATGAGGGTTAGCAAAATGATGATGCTGATGGTGCTGGTGATGACGATGCTGCTGACGCTGATGCTGATGCTGATTCTGCTGATGATGATGGTAATGGTGATGATGGTGTGATGATGATGCTGATGCTGATGCTGATGATACTGATGATGAGGATGCTGCTGCTGCTGCTGATGATGATGATGATGATGTTGCTGTTGATGCTGATGATTCTGATGACGCTGCTGCTGATGATGATGCTGCTGATGATGATGACGATGACGATGACGATGACGATGATGATGACCATGAGGATGACGATGATGATAATGATAATGATGATGATGTTGATGCTCATGCTGCTGCTGCTGCTGCTGCTGATGATGATGATGATGATGATGATGATGATGCTGATGGCGATGATCCCCCCTCGGCTGACGGCTTGCGTCGCAAAGTCCCTGTTCTGGGCATGGGGAGACATCCAAGCCCGCGATTCAACCCGACCCGCACGAAAACTGGGAGCACCAGGGCAACCAGAAGCCACGGGGGCAGCTGCACCCTTAGGCACACCTACGGCACCACTACCCGCCCAGGAAACACCCGTGTGCCAGACGCGGCGCCCTTGCCTCGCGCGCCCGACTCCGCGGCCTCGCGCCGCTGTCGGGAGCGGTTCCGCGGCCGCCCTCGGCCCGCTAGGCGGGCGCCCTCCCAGCACCACGCTCCTCGTTGGGTGGAGCCCTCGTCGAAGACGGCAGCGCTCCGGCGCTCGGCGCAAGCAGGGCTCGGACAGCCCACCACGCGCGCCGAGCCAGCGTTGCAACCGCACACGTTGCAGAAGACCGTCGGACCTGCCTGCATGCTGCCCGACGGCTGCTGGGACAACAACGGGGGCCTCCGCTCCAGCAGAGCGCGCCCGTCTTTGGCCTCGGCAACCGTCGCCGCGGCCGCGGCCTCGCCGTCCTGGCTCCCGCGGGGCGTGGGGAGGGGGTGGCGGATCTCGGCGGCGGCTGGCACCACCGCCGCGACAGGCTCTCCTCCCAAGCTAGCGGCGGCGCTGATGATGCTGCTGATGATGCTGCTGCTGATGCTGATGCTGATGATGACGATGATGATGACGATGGCGATGCTCATGATGATGATGATGATGGTGATGGTTGATGATGGTGATGACGATGATGACGATGATGATGATGCTGATGCTGATAATGATGATGATGATGATGATGATGATGATGATGAGGATGATGATGATGATGATGCTGATGATGATGATATTGATGCTGATGACGACGCTGATGATGCTGACGATGCTGATGATGACGGCGATGATGATGCTGATGATGATGATGATGATGGTGGTGATGATGATGATGACGATCATGCTGATGATGATATTGATGATGTTGATAATGATGATACTTGTGGTGGTGATGATGATGCTGATCATGCCGGTGATGAGGATAATGATGATGATGTAGCTAATGATGATGTTGCTGCTAGTGATGATCATGATGATGATGATGATGATGATGATGATGATGATGATGATGCTGGTGATGCTGATGCTGCTGTTGATGCTGCTGCTGAAGATGATGATAATGATGACTATGATGATGCTGCTGATGATGATGATGATGATGCTGATGCTGCTGCTGCTGATGATGATGATGATACGGATGCTGTTGATTGTGATGATGTCGAAGCTGCTGCTGATGCTGCTGCTGAGGATGATGCTGATGATGTTGCTGATGACGATGGCGATGTCGATGATACTGATATTTCCAGTAGATTCAGATGAGGAGGATGGCAATGATGATGCTGTTGCTGATGCTGATGCTGCTGATGATGCTGATGCGGATGCTGATGCTGATGCTCATGATGGAACTTATGATGATGTTGACGATGCTGATGATGCTGCTCATTCTGATGCATGTAGATATGATGCTGATAGCGATGATTATTCTGATTGTGGTGGTGGTGGCGGTGAATGTGATGCTGATGACGACGATGATGATGATGATGATGATGATGGTGATGTTGATTCTGATTCTGATGCTGATGACGACGATGATGCTGCTGCTGATGGTGATGCTGATGATGGTGATGGTTGATAATGTTGATGTTGACGATGATGCTGATGCCGATGCTGATGATATTGATGATGATGATGAGGCTGATGATGCTGCTGATGATGCTGATTCTGATGCTGATGCTGATGCTGATGCTGATGATGATGATGATGATGATGATGATGATGACGATCATTATGATGATGCCTATGGTCATGCTGATGCTGATGATGATGGAGCTGCTTATGATGATGATGCTGATGATGGTGATGGGTGACGGTTTTGATGTGTACAATGCTGAACGCGATGGTGCCGAGGACGATGTCTATGACAATTGCGATGATGACGATTCTGCCACTGATACTGACGATGCTGATGAGACTGATGATTACGAGGATGATGATGCTGCTGATGATGTTGATGATCGTGATGATGGCGATGCTGCTGATGATGATGATGTTGATGATGGTGATGATGGTGATGAGCGGATGATGATGATGATGATGATGATGATGATGATGATGATGATGATGATGATAATGCTGATGATGATGATGATGATGATGATGATGATGATGATGATGCGGATTGTGCTGCTGATGATGATGCTGATGCTGATGCTGATGCTGATGCTGATGATGACGGTGATGATGATGATGATGATGATGATGATACTGATGGTGATGTTGCAGACGATGCTGATGATTATGATGAGGATGATTGTGATGATGTCGATGATGCTGCTGCTGATGGTGATGCCGATAATGCTGATGTGATGCTGATGATGATGGTGATGCAGTCGGTGTTGCCGATAATGCTGATGCTGCTACTGTTGCTGACGACGACGTCGTCGACGCCGATGATGATGATGCCGCTGATGCTGATGAGGATGATGGTGGTGATGCTGATGATGGTGCCGATTCTGATGATGATGCTGATGAGGATGATGATGATGCTGATGCTGCTGATGATGGCGATGCTGATGCTGACGAGGACGAGGACGATGACGATGCTGATGCTGATGCTACTGCTGATGATGATGCTGATGCTGATGATCATGATGATGCTAATAATAGTGATGATGCTGATGATATTGATGATGCTGATGATGCTGATGATGCCAATGATGATGACGACGATGATGATGCTGATGATGATGATTCTGATGATGATGATGATGGTGGTGAACATGATGAAGATGCTGATTATGGTACGGGCGGCGATGCTGATACTGATGACTAGGACGCTGATGATGCTGCTGATGCTGATGATGCTGACGATGCTGTTGACTTTAACTATTCTGACGAGGGCGCTGCGTCCGATGCTGCTGATTGTGATGTTTACGCTGGTTATGATACTGACGATGTTGACGATGGAGATGATGACGGCGATGCTGATTATGTTGCTGCTGAAACTGATTGCGATGCTGCTGCTACTGATGATGACGATGCTGTTGATGTTTTTGTTGGTTCTCATGCGGAAGATGACAATGTTGATGCTGTTGGCGATGGTGATGACTTGGAGGGGGCAGGCGGTTGGGGGGCTCCGCGCGCGGTAGGCGGCAGAGGCAACGCCCGACAGCGCGAGCGGCGCAACAAGAGGCGGCTTGCCAGGGCAGTGGGAGGACGACGAGTGGGGGCGACGAGGAGGGGACGATGAGCAGGTGGCGGAGGAGGAGGAGGAGGATGAGGAGAAGGAGGAGGATGAGGAGGAGGAGGATGAGGAGGAAAGGGAGCAGGATGCGGATGATAACGAGGAGGAGGAGGAGGCGGCGGAAGAGGATGAGAAGGGCGAGGACGTGGAGGAGGACGATGGGGAGGCAGTAGGAGAACGATAAGGAGGGGGATGATGGGGGGGGAAGCACGATGAGGAGAGGGAGGAGGAGGATGAGGAGGCGGAGGAGGGGGAGGAGGAGGAGGAGGAGGAGGACGAGGAGGCGAGAGCGGACACTCTGGAGACTCTACATGGTCGTGTAGCGAGATGGTCCAAACCGCCGCAGCCTCACTTGGGGTTGCTTCGGTGCTTCCTCTCGTCGCGCTCAGCTCCACTGCGAACTTTGGGCCAGAGCCCAGCGTGGATTCTCCTTAAACGCTCTCTACCTGTGGTGTCCGGATCAAAACACGGGTTACCGAGTTTGTCCAGCATTTGTGTTGGTTGTTATCGCACCGCAGTGGTAATAACACAGTTTCAGCCCAGCGTAGGACCTTAGACACTGGTTTACATGAACACTTCCCCCCACTACACGCACTTGCTTCCCGAGGGGGGTCTCATATAATTATCATCCGCATTGACAAGGTCATGCCATTCGCTCTGAAGCTGCTGGGTGCGTGCGGCCTTGGTGGCCGAATCGAAACAGTTATTGCATTTTTGACCCGACCAGTCTATCACATGCCTGGTGGCAAGCATGGCACACCGCGGGGGCCAGCGGCTGGGCAGTATCCTGCTGCTTCTGCTTCCAACCGAACCCTGGGGCGCTCGGGGTGTGCTGAACGCTTGGACTCTTGACTCTCGATGGCTGCCCGAAGGATACCACGTTTGATTAGGAAGCTGTCTGCTCGATTAGTGCATACTGCTGCTGAAGTGCTGTGGTGACGTGGACATCTAGTGCAGCGCCTCATGCTAACTCATTCGGCATTGCCTTTCTACACGCGAATGGGCTGGCATGTTTTCCATCAACTGTGTCCTGTGGCAGTAACTGATGTGACCGAATCCAGGTTAGAACGACGTCGCCCTGCCGTGCTCGCACGGCCACGTGTACACGAACACACAAGTCTGCATGATGGGGCACGAGGAGGAGGAGTACAATGAGAAGGCAGTGGGAGGACGATGGGGAGGAATAGGAGGAGGGGGAGGACGATGCGGAAGGGGGAGGAGGGCCTCCTCTTCCTTCTCCTTCTTGGGAGGATGAGGAGGGGACGGAGGAACAGGTCGAAAGGATCGGGTTGGCCGACATGATCCGTGTGCCAGTTGCACCGTTGTTTTGTGGTCATCCGTGCAGAGGAATTCGTTGTTCAAGAGGAGTGTGCGCGGCGCCAAGGGGACAGCCCATTTTGAAACCGACTCTCCCTCCACTCTTGCATCTAGATTTGTTTAAGACGAGCTAGGCGCCTAGGCGATAACCCCATCTCGAAATCGTCTCGCCCGTCTGTGTAGCTGGAGTTTTTCTGTAAGACGAGTGTTTTTTTTGAAATCGGCGAGCCCTCCATCCGTGTAGCGCTTTCAACGCTGACGCCTCAATGTCGTAACCAGGGAAGTCTCTGGCGAAACGCTAGGCTCACCCAGGCGAAACGTCTGGTGGTGCGCAAGTATGTTGTGTGTTGCTTTTTGCTTGTTGCAAGCTTGCCTGCTTGCTTGTCTTTCTGTTTGTTAAGTTTGTTGTTTGCTTCCGTGTTTGGGTGTTTGTGTGTCAGTCTTCTTCCGTTGTTGTGAGGGACAGAGATGGAGGAATAGGAGGAAGGAGGAGGACAGGGAGAAAAACTAGGAGGAGGAGAAACAGGAGGATGAGGAGGAGGAAGATGAGGAGGAGGCGGAGGATGAGGATGTTAAAGTGGGGGCTGGAGAAGGAGGAGGAGAAGGAGGAGGAGGAGGAGACGGAGGTGGTCAAGTGCATCACTTGTGACGGGGCAGCAAGAGTTGGTCGGGGCACTTGCTCGGCCGCCCGAGCCGCTCGTGCCCAGCCTGCGCAACAAAATGAGCGCGCAGAGTGAGAGTCCAGAAGAGCTTCAGCCTCCCACCTCTCTGCCTGAGCGCCACGCAGACTCTGCGCCCCGATCTAGCTCATGACCTTGAATATCCTTTTCCTCTTCCCTCTCCCTCCCTCCCTCCTTCTGTCCCCTCCCTCCCTCCGTCCCTTCCCCCTCCCTCCCACCCTCCATCCCGTCCCCCCTCCCTCCCTCCGTCCTTCCCCCCTCCCTTCCCTCCCCTCCACTCAGGCGGTGTCCGGCGTTCCTCCCGCATTGTCCGCGGAATCTACCAGGCTTCACGATGCATTCAGCCGCCATGGCAGCCTCTTGCCTCTTTATTGGGGTACTGGGCCGTTGATGCCAAACAACCATCCCCAAATCCTTTCAAAGTCGGTCTCCAGACCCCTCCCTGGATCAAATCGGGCTAGTGTTTTCGAGCTGCGTCCAGCCGTGGCGATGAGAACACCCTCCATCAACCCGCGAACGCATCCGAAAGACTATGTGGTCCCTCGATTCGCGACCTCAAACCTCGGTCCGCCTTCCTTCCCCCCTCCTCCGCCGGTCCTGCCCCTCGACTCCGTGGCTGGCTCCCCCGCCCAGGAGAAGGGAGGGGAAAGTGGGGAATGGGGGAGGCGGGGGAGGTAAGGGGAGCGGAGGGGGGGCGAGAGGAGTGATGGGAGGGTAACGGAGGGGGAGGAGGAGGAGGAGGAGGAGGAGGAGGAGGAGGAGGAGGAGGAGGAGGAGGAGGAGGAGGAGGAGGAGGAGGAG